TAGATAATCCATTTATTCAGAATGCAACACACAACTACATTATACAGAGATTATTAACAAGAACATAACACTCACAATTTCAATTGTAGAAAGGAGACGTACAAATGGCGGCATTATTACTAAAAGCGATCTCTTCCAGGCAACTTTGGTATGGAGTTAAATCATAAATGAGCTAATTATAATGGGGTAGCACTTATACTGTGTAGGAAGAAAAACAATATAAGTATACCTAATTCACATATACCTATACATACTATATACACATATGCGTACATACATATATCGGGTTGGCACAAAAGTAATGAGACACTTGGTTTAAGTTTTTACTTTTTTATTATTATTACAATAAAAAAAGTTTAGTCAATGATGTAATTACCATTAGTATCTAAGACTTCTTGCCAACGATCCGGCAAAGTTTGGATGCCTTTTGCCCAGAACTCTGATGGCTGTGCCTCGAAAAAGTTGTTCAACTCCGCCTCTACGTCAGAGAAATCATTAAATTGTTTACCCCGCAAATGCTGTTTCAGGGCTCTAAACAAATGATAATCAGATGGGGCGAGGTCTGGAGAATAAGGTGGGTGGGGTATCGTCTTCCAGCCCAAGTTCTCCAACTGCCGGCGAACCACAGATGCGACGTGAGGTCGAGCGTTATCGTGCAGTAAAACTACATTGACTCGTCTTCGTCGTTTTTTCTTGATAGCGGCAGATAATTTGGTAAGCTGGGTTGAATATTTGTCAGCGTTTATAGTTTCATTGTGTAATAGCTCATAAAACATCTGAGATGCGCAAGGCATACCTTGCGCATCCCAGAAACAGCAAAGCAGAATTTTTCGGCGGTTCTTTTGACTCGGCTTCGGTTGAGTTGGTGGCGTTTCTTCTCGAGGCAGCCAAAAAGCACGACGTGTATCGTTCTCGTAATAAATCCATGATTCATCTCCAGTAATCAGATCTGACAAAAACTCTTTACGTCAGGGTCGCAGCAAAAGTGACTGACAGATAGCGACACGGACTGCACGACTGGCGTCTGTAAGGATGTGCGGTACCCACCGAGCCAAAACATTTCGATAACCAAGCTCATGCAGATGGTGTTCCACGGCGTGGTGACTGCATTTAAGTGCTTCCACTAATTCACGAGTGGTAGCATCCGGATTCAACTGCAGTTCGCGGCGCAAATCGTCATCATTTACTGTGGGTGGTCGCCCTGAGCGTGGCTGACTTTCAAGGTTCCTGTCTCCTGATTTAAAACGGTCAAACCATCAGGACACCGTCGCATGGCTTGTACTTTCAGCGCCTAATGCATTGTTGATATTGTCAGCCGCAGCCCGCGCGCTGTGGCCTAACAAGTATTCGTATAAGTATAGTGTTCGAACTTGCCGCTCGTCCATTTTTCTTCAAACTGACTAAACAAATCGCGAGCGCGGCTTTATTTACCCTACACCAGAAGTACCTAGAATGTTCTACAACATTCTAGAATATTATCGAAAAAATTGATTTTAAAAAGGAAACGTTATAGATTTTTCTAGTGTGTCTCATTACTTTTGTGCCAACCCAATATATACGTAGGGTAAGGTGGAGCACAGTGTGACAAAAAAAAAACGTAGTATAAATCTGAAAATATTTATTAAAGGAACTTTCTATTAGTCTTAAAATAATCAACACTTCCTAAGCTATCATTTGACAACGAAAAACAATATCAAAAATAACAAGAAGTATTTTTTAATTGCACATTTTTGAGATTTGTCGATTGTCACAGACTGCCCCGGATCCGGGGTACAATGTGACATACTATGGGGTACTTTGTGACATTACTTATTCTAGGAAAACTTCTTTGTAATAATAAGATTTATTGCACATTATACTTCATTTAAATATTTTTAGGAGAAATATAAAATTCAGCTTGTTGATTTGTAGTTTTACTTTTCAAGCTCAGGTAAAACATCTTTTATTTCAACTTCCGCCAAATCTGGCTCAAGCGGGAAATCAAAACTGTTATCAACCTTATTGCTTTTATGTAAGTAGCTTACATCGTAAGATTCATCTTCATTGCTTCTTAAGAGTTGTGACATTGTCACATAGTGCCCCGTCACACTGTACCCCATAGGCTCAAAAAAAAACAAACAATCATAGAAAATAATTTATAGGTTACGATACCGGCAAACTATCTACGAGTATTTATCTACAAATACATGGCTTTTCAAGAAAAAAAGATTTACTTACATAAGTACCTCAATAAACACCTTAGAACGAAAACAATACTGGCAGTTTATAAGAAAAAAATTGGCAAAAAACACTTTTATCGTTAAATTTCTGCAGCGTGCAATCTAATCCAATTGACAAGTGTTCCAAGGTGGCATCTGATGCGCTTATCTGAAATGTGTCTAAGCGATAACGATATTCTAAAAAGAGACGGAGATATTGAGAGTGTCACACTGTGCCCACCTTACCCTACTCATACACATACATATGAACTGCATGTATACACGAATAAATAATGTTGTTTAACGAGTTCCTTAAAGATATTAATTAGCTTTAGCTTTCTTAGCTTTCCTTATTGATACAATTAATGTATTCCACCAGCGCACGGCTTGGACTATAAATGACTTATCGTAGAAGATTGTACAATGCATCGGCATATCCAATTGCAAATTTTCTGATGATCTCAAGAGGCGAGAATAAGAATCTTTGGTAAATTTGAAGCAATCCTTTAAATAAGAAGGGGTAACGGGATTGCAAAGTATACTAAATAGCATCGTTGGAATATGAACATTCCGGTGAAGTCGAATAGGCAACCACTCGAGTTTTCCACGAAATTCAAAAATGTGATCATATTTGCGTAATCCAAATATAAATCTTATGCAAACATTTTCAAGTCGCTCAAGCTTGTTTAGTTGCATTTCTGTGAGATCAAGATAGTTGACTTCTGCATAATCAAGTATGGGCATCATAAGATAATGTGTGAGCGCAATTTAGTAGCAGTCGGTAAAATATTGCGGAGTCTTCTTATAGACCCAGCAGTGGCATAAAGTTTGCGACTCATTTCTTTGATCTGCACATCCCTATTGAAGTTTTTGTCAAATTGTATGCCCAAATTTTTTAACCTGATCACTGAGTTGAAAGTTAACTCCAGCAAAAACAATTTGTGGAAGTTGATCATACTAAGTTGTGCTCTAACTCGGGATTGCCTATTATAATAACTTGGGTTTTGTTAGGATTTATCAGCAATCCATGACTACAGCTCCATTCAGAAATTTTACATATGTCCATATGTCATATTTAGATTATTGATGGCTGAATTAATATTTTCAACAGTAGCCTGAGAATAAATCTGAAAATCTTCTGCACAGAGATGGTAGGAAGAAACTAATTGACATAAAATACAATTAATGTATACTGCAAAAAAAAGAGGAGATAACACGCCACCCTGCCGTACCCCGGCAGTGATATTACACCACGAGGAAAATGAATTCTCAACGCGAACCCGCTGCCGGCATCCACAGGTAACTTCGAAACCAATCAATCGCTAATATAAGTTAATAGAGCGTAATATATGAATCAAATCATCAAAACAATGACGTATGTAACACCCACCCAATCAATCGTGAAGGTAAACCATAAACCTTCTAAAATGTAGTAGCTTTTTTATATGTAGTCGTTGTTTGTCGTAGAATAGCGCACAGTACTGTAAACTATAAAACTACCGCGAGGTCTAAGTTCAAGAGCTATATGTTTATGATCCTTTTGCTTACAAATAACATATAATACGAAATAAATTAAGTTAATCAATTAGGGATGTTCCGATACCTGTTCCGATATTTCGATCAAAGTACCAATACCTACTCCCTACTTATATGAGAATGAGGAACTATTTAAAAAAAACGAAAGTACTAAAAAAGCACCTCCACTAAATGGCGACTCTAACAAAAGTTAATTTTTGCTGGAAACTAACGGACCGCAGACAGTCATTTCCGTTCTTTTTAACTAACATATAAAAAACTGAAATATGAAAAGTTCGTAACTTGGATATCAATACAAATACGAAAAAGTACAAATAGAATACGAGTTGTTTATTGAGTTTTGAAAACTAAATTACAGTGCCGTAGCGACATGTAGTTTGATTTCGGGAACTAAAGTGTTTTTTAATACTTCCTCATTATTCAAACATTTTCGATACTACTTGATACGTTTTGTTACATTTCGATACTATTAATTTTTATTGAAGAAATGAAATAAAAGTGAAATAATTTTGTTATGAATAGTTTTAAAATCATTTTACCATTTTTATACTTACTTCTAGTGTATCGATAATATAAAGTGAAATAATTTTGCTAGAGTATAAATTAAAAGTACAGTAATTAAGTGACAAAGAATCATGTCCAATTTTGAACTAAAAATTTACTAACTCGTGTAGCAATGTGATATATCTCAAAAAATACCTTATTTTGTACTTATCTCATATAAGGAAATTAAATCTTAAAATAAAGGATGGATAAAAATTGCGAGGCTGATAATTATTTTAAAATAATACTATGATAACTACCTGGATTTTTTTTTTTATTTAAACATAGAAATTATTTAATTACTCAGGTAAATCTTTTCGGTGTAAGGTTTTATCGTCAAAAACATATTGCAAAGCTTGATATAATAAGTACTCGATTCTGCTAAAATATTCGATACGATGAATGGCGCACTTTACCGATAACATAGCGACAAAGTACTTTCGCTTTTTCTTCTGTCTGATTCGTTCAGCAGTTAGTCTGGGCTTATATTCAGGTCAGTCTGGGCTAGATTAATTCTTTTGTTTCGATACTACATAAGTTTTAAAAGATTGATTCGATGCTAAAAGTACTCGGTATATGATCAAAAGTATCGAATACTTACTCGTATTGCTAGTATCGAATAGTATCGGAATGTCCCTACAATTGATTAATCAATTCCAAAGATTACAATATTATACTGGTATTCAATGTTTTTATTTCCTCGTTGTCTAATGCGTTTTCTTTCCATTGACTGTATATTCTTGTAAGTTTTTAAGTTTTGTGTCGTACTTTCAGTGAATATATAGCAAAAATTTTCTATAATAAACTATAGAGAAATTTGAATTCATCATACTCTACCTGGTTCATTATGAGTGAGAGACCTGAAGATCATCGTCGAAAATGGGACAAAGACGAATTCGAAAGAATAGCTGCAGAAAGATTGAAAGCAGAATTGGAAGAAGAAGAACGTTCTAAGAAGAAAGGTAATATTTATTTGTTATCATACCAAAATTTTACTATCGATAGTATCATCTTACTTTCTATTTAAACCCATATTATTCTATTCCAGCTCCACCTGTCAAACGAGAACTTCTTAAACAACGAGATTATAAAGTTGATTTAGATTCAAAATTGGGCAAAAGTGTTGTGATTACAAAAAATACACCAACATCCCAATCTGGGGGTTATTATTGCAATGTCTGTGATTGTGTTGTCAAAGACTCTATTAACTTTCTGGACCACATTAATGGAAAGAAGCACCAAAGAAATCTTGGTATGTCAATGAAAATTGAAAGGAGCAGCATAGATCAGGTGAATGTTCATTACTGATACTTTTTTCTAATAAAGATTATATTTAATTGACTTCTTGTTAGTATTAGTAAGACAAGTGACATTTCCTCATTGATTCAATAATTTTATTCTACAAACTAAAATAAACAGTAAAAACTATATACTCAAGTTAAAATGTAACTAAGTCCATTCTCATATCTAGCTCCCATTAATGCGTTAAGTTGTTGTAGTACTACAGCATGGTATGCATTTCTATAAAAATGACAAGCACAATAAAAATAACCATTGTAGTATAAGCAGTTAATGAAACTATTATGTACTTACTATGCAGCACTAAGTTTATCACAGTTCACTATTTAGCATCTTCAATCAATAAATAGATAGATATTCAAATTGTTATTCATTTATTTTTTATTATTATCAAATATCTTATTTTAAGATGAAATATAAGGGGTGTGCACAGAGATTAGGAGTAGGGTATGCAGCATGTACCTATGTATCTGTATTGAAAAAGCTTACCAATTTCATCTTAGTTTCAGTACATTCTAATGAGTCCAGAACGATGATAATTCATGTTTTTTGGGCACCATAAGCATCAAAATGTAACTTTACAAGTTACCACAAAATTATTCAGTTTTGTAGAAATAGTAAGAACTTACCAAACCGTCAATACTTAACACCTATTTTAGACATCATTTACGTAAATATTTAGCGGCTGTAAATTTTTTTGGTAGCAATCCCTTAATTTTTATAAATGAAATGAAATCAACGTAAATGACATTTGCTATTATATCATAACTATTAGTATTGCTAATTTGTAAACTTCAGGAAATATGGTTGTTAAATTATTTGTGGGTAAATTTTGATTGCTAGGTAATATTTTGAGTTAAATGTAACCTGAGCCTACACATTTTTTTGTAACTTTTTTATTTTAGACCCTTTGCGCAAACGCTAGTCTTTTGATAACTTCTTAATTTAATCAGGTTGCGATAAGCAGTGCCTCTCAAAACCGTGACACATCTATGAATTTTACACATACATACACATGATTTCTGTATACAACACGAGTTTTGACTTGTCGTGTTTGTATAGCGAATAAGCTATAAGAAGTGCAGCTTACGGCCGCATCGCTGGCGGAGGCACTAGTGTAGCGGTCGGTTGAAAATATTCCACTCAGTAGAGCGTTATGGTAGTTCTGTCATCTTTTGAGAGATTGCATATTTGCTAATTTAACCAAATCATGATCATGAGTCTGTTGATACTCGTATTGAGTTAATGTATGAATATGTAAAAATTAAACAATGTAGGTAGGTATGGTGCGCATACCACTGTAGAATATACAAGGACGATGTTTATTTTTATTAAACACATACCACTATATCTATGACATGAGATACTACAGAATGTCAATATACCTTTGGTCTCCTAAATAAATGAAATGAATACATACAAATACTGAAAGAAAAAAATATACCTATTAGACAAATTAATATGATTATATTCCATTTCCATTCCATTAGACAAATTAATATGATTATATTATTTCCAGGTTAAAGCCCGTTTTGCTCTAAATAAAAGAAAACTTGAAGAAAAAAAGAAAGAATACGAACTAGATACTAGACTAAGAGAAGCAGCTGAAGAAGAGGCAAGAGTTAAAGAGCTTCGTCGTGAAAGAAGACGTGACAAGAAACGAAAATTACAAGATTCTGAAGAACCTGAAGAGGATACGCCAGCTCAATCAGAGCTTGCCCAGATTATGGGTTTTTCAGGATTTGGAGCTTCCAAAAAATAGTTATTATGGCCTTTAGGCTCAACCCAAATCTGATGAAAGATCACTCGAGCATATCATGGAAGTCTTTTTTAGTATATGATGAATGATCTGTTAACTGTGTAAGGTTGAACATCATTGTTTTTTTTAGTTCTTATGTTCCATGATAGATGATTTGCGATGGATCTTCCATTATTATGCATCAACCCTTAAACATAAACTTGTTACAGATGTAATTAATAAAAAATAAAAAATAATAAACTAAATATACCAAAATTTTATGGTTATTTTAATACAAACGTTAATTTTAAGACAAACTGTAGGTATATAGAAACGGTCATTGACTTCTATTAATTAAAAAAGTTTTGCTAGACATTACTGTTATCATCATCATCATCAGCCTTTATTTTGTCCCCACTGCAGGGGCTCAGGCCTTCCTTATGGATAGTTTAGTAATAATTGGCTACTTGACAGTTATAACAATACCTCGTGTGTTTATAAGTTTTGAGACAAACTACAAAAAAAAAATGTAACTGGCTGTTATTCTTTTTTACCGATTTTGAATTTGTTATGTTAAATTCAAGTTTATTTGTATCGCAAATTCATTTATTTATATTTTCTCGTGATTGAGGGAACTAAACAATTACGTGCAACTGTCATTTCGCTATTTAAGGCGGAAAAAAACCGATGCAGATTTTCCGCGAGCTGAAAAGTTTTCCTGAAAACCGTAACTTCGTCTTGTATTGTGTAATACACAATACACTGGTACAAAGAGACAAGTTCTCTGCAAGATCGCTAAAGGAATGGTCTGTGAGGACGCCTGTGAATATCAAAAACATCCGAAAGCGAAAATTGCTTAGCAATAGGGATCCTGCGCAGCGGCGCTTATCCGTAGCACCACCGAGCTACGAATTAATATTGTCTATAATTTATTGTTATATTTTTCATGTAATGTTAGGTTGCCTGGAAGAAATCGCTTGCTAGCGATGAGTTTGTCGTTTGTACTTAATTAACGCTAACCCACTACGCCATCGGACCCCTTATACCTAAGATATACTAATATTAGAAAAAGGAAAGATAAGGTTGTTTGTTTGTTTGCATCGAATTTGCCCCAAAACTACTGGACCGATAGTTTTAGAGCTATTCCGACCCGTAATCTACATCATGGTTGTCATAGACTATTATTTTGCGGCAAAGTCGCGGGAAAACAGTTAGTTCATTATACCTTGTGAAAACTTGTTTGAAGGCAACACGAGTTGACGATAATCGAAGCTACTTTCTCGATCTCTATTGTGCACACTGCGAGCTCTTTCAGAGACCAAGCGCATTTCTCTATCAAAGGAAGTTTCATACTCATACATACTCATAGTGCATGAACCTGGCGATACGCTTCGCGTTTTTCAGGTGTCTCCCGAGACCGACCGAACTCTTTCTTTGTCAATAAAAGTTGGTCAGTACATGTCTGACGGACGATACGTGGAGTTTTATTTATTGATATAAAATAATATATACATATTTTAATTTCGACTTTCCATACTCAAAGGAAATCGTCTACTGAGACATACTTCCGAGAGGTGCTAAACTGAGCTTCCGTCAGATTTGAATGGCCCTCATCATCATCATCAGCTCTTTTACGTCACCACCTGCAGGAGCCTTATGGACTAAAGAGCACGGGCCACGAACCTCCATGCTGGCCCAATGCGAATTGAAGGATATTAACGACTGCAAATACAACCGGGACCAATCGCTTTACGTGCCTTCCAAAGCTTTGAGTTGCTTGAGATAATATTTTTTGGTCACCCATCCTATAATAATATAATAATAATTCCATTTATTACAAGCATTAACACTCATATACACAAATCAAAATTTAGTTTATACAAATAAATAAAATTGAAAATTAAAACATGCAATAAATTTTAAAATCAAAAATATAAACAAATAATAATAATAAGTAAATTCATTACAATTATCTAAAATACATTAAATCATCGTCATATCTAAATGCCGCGAAGATTAATTAAAGATCATATTAAAAAATTAAAAATCAAATTAAAAACAACATAAATAAAACATTAAATTAATACATTCTATAGAATCGCTCATAAATCACATATAATCATTTTACACGAGTCATAGATTGATAGTAAGATTTTATTATTGGTATTTCTGATTCTGTCTTTGAAAGCGGCAGCCCTTTTTCTCATAATTGCAAAAAAATCATCAACCCTATTGTCGAAGAACATGCCGGACGCGCTACACCGCCATGGCAGGTTCATCATTGCTCTGAAAGCGTATTATATTGCACACGCAACGCATGATAGGCGCGTTGCGTGAAATTGGTCCACAGCTGGCTGATGTAAAACGCCTGACAGTAGGCACTAAAAAGAGTGACTTTCACGGCTTTACTGCATTTAGAAAATCTACGAGCCAGCATGTTACTTTTAACAGCAATACTTCTTTTCTGACGTTCCATATCATCATCATCACTTAAATCATCTCTTATTATGTGACCTAAATATTTGAACTTGCTGACCTGTTTTATGACAGAACCATTAAGACAAATTTTTGGGCTAAAGTTATTTATCCTGTTTTGTCCAAATATCATAAGCTCAGTCTTGTTCACATTATATGTCAATTCGTGTACATTAGCATATTTTACACAAATATTAAGTAATTTTTTCAATCCATTGATGAAAGGGACTCAGGAGAACCATGTCGTCCGCATAACTCAAATTATTTACAGGCTGATTGCTCATATGGCAGCCGACACCGGATCTCCCAAGTTCCACCCCTTGCAGATGGAAAATTGGAGAGGCCCGAGTAAATCGAGTGCCTCTCCCAGACAGACGAAACCGAGCTATGCGGGGGCGGCTGCCAACCACCTCCGCTGGCTCCGACGACGACGTGAACCTAATCTGATAAAAAAATGCGTTCACTGTAAACTACTCGATGCTTATTTGCATCATCGGAAGGCTCTTTTCGCTTGTTCTCCTATTCGCGTGAGCGTATACCACACGTCCATTATAAGCTGAACCCTATTTAATACCATTAGTCATTTATAAATGAGGTCAACTTACTTTGGAAACCTCAAAATTTAAAAATCTTATTTTTTATTTTTCATCATACAAATTATCATTTTATAGACAATATTAATTCGTAGCTCGGTGGCGCTACGGATAAGCGCCGCTGCGAACGATCGCTATTGCTAAGCAATTTTCGCAAGAGTTGTTCACGGGATGGGTGACAAAAAATTATTAAACAAAGGCCTGAGGCCCTGCAATTTAGCTCTCAAAGAGTTAATGATGATGATCAATATATCAAAGACGAAAATTTAATTAAACAGTTAATATTTCATAGCAATTTTGGCGAACACGTCACTTCAAATTGATATAACTTTTTTATTTGTGAACCGATTAAAATAAAACTTACTCTAAATGTTAACGGAAGAATACCGCAATATAATAGTGAAAACTGCATTTAAATCGGTTCAGCCGTTTCTGAGATTATCCTGCACAAACGCACAGACAAACAGACAAACCGACAAACAGACAAAATTAAAAAAATATATTGTTTTGTGTTTTATTACGCTTAAAAATGTCCCTCATAACAGTTTTTTTCATATATCTTCAATGTACAGACATCGATCGGTTACGTTTTTATTATAGTATAGATATCAAATTCACGTTATACTATTTCTGATAAGATATTATTGAAATAATAGATAAATAAAAATAAATAAAGTGTGTGTGGGTTAATATGTTATCGAGTGAATGGACGTGAACGCGTACGTGTGTGGGGGGGGGGAGTTAACACTGTGGAGACTGAATTTATGACTTGTGTATATAAAATTATTTAAGATCCAATCATATCAAGTAGGGTTCAGCTTATAATGGACGTGTAGTATACGATCCTTCCGACGATGCAATTAAGCATCGAGTAGTTTACAGTGAACGCATTTTTTATCAGATTAGGTTCACGTCGTCGTCGGGGCAAGCGGAGGTGGTTGGCGGCCGCCCCCGCATTGCACGGTTTCGTCTGTCTGGGAGAGGCACTCGATTTACTCGAGCCTCTCCAGTTTTCCATCTGCAAGGGAACCAATGGTCCAATACTTGAGTGTCCTAGTGACTTGGCCATAGCTTGCCGGGTTTCATCTCCTATGAGAGGGTGTAGCGTACGGGTTTAGGTGGTAGGCCTCAAGGGACCCACTGGGCAGCTCACTGTCGGGTTCACAGAGGAGAATCCTACTCACCCCCAGTTGCTTGTCAGTAACACGACGTTAAAAAATTTAGATTCACGTCAACTGAAGTTAAGAACGTTAAGACAACTCGAGTTATATATTTTTTTTCTCTTTTTACTTTTTTTGATGGTAATACTCTTTTTGTTTTTTTTTAACATGCAAATTGCTGTAGATACGAACTTCAAAATTGATATTTTCAGTCTTCGCTGGAAACAATGATTTATTTGTTGGTCACAACAAGCATTGGGCCAGCATGGAGGTCGTGGCCCATCCTCCTTAACCGTCCATAAGGAAGGCCTGAGCTCCTGCAGTTGGTGACGTAAAATGGCTGATGATGATGATGATGATGAGGGCCGTTCAAATCTGTTCAGTTAAACGCCTCTCGGAAGTATGTGTTAGTAGACGATTTCCTTCGAATGTGGAAAGTCGAAATTAAAATATGTATTATTTTATCAATAAATAAAACTCCACGTGTCTTCCGTCAGACATGTACCTGTTGAGTATTAGGTAGCTCGGTGGTTAGAGCAGTCGCCCAAATTGCGATAGGTTGTGGGTTCCAGTACCGGAGTACCGGTGGTTTTTTATTAAGAATATTTTCCAGTTGAGCATTGTGAATGTTAAATTGATCAAATATCATAAATATTTTTTATTTAATAGAATTTAGAAATAATATAAAAAATAAGCAAAAATAAATATATGTAGATTCATTTTTATAATTAATTAATGGTAAACTATACTGCAGAAACATAAACACAATCGTACACTGTTTTTTCTTCATATAGATTTCCTGCTTCCGTACTTATCTTTGTTAATAAAAAAAAATATAATTTTGATTATTCCTTTCAGAAAAATGTAATACTGTAAATCTGAAAGTTTTAATGATAACTTAAAGGTACTAATAGACTTAGTTCCTATATCCTAATATAAAAAAAAAAACTATGTATATATTTTTTTTGTTTGTTGGCATTGAATAAGTATGCTCAAAAACTACTGGATCGATTTTATGAATTATTAAAT